TATGCCGTAATTAAGTGCTCATTTATTGCTCTAGTTATTGATTGGTAATTTATTGGTCTAGTCGCGAATTTATTGCTTCTACCCGTTCGCAGGAATCTAGTATCAAAAGTGCAGGATGCTGAGTCCGTTATTATAAAAAAAAGGAAAAATTACTTTATTCGTAAAGTCACGCAGTCGATTCGTGTTTGCCAGAACGCTGAGAAATCCGTCGCCGGAATCGCCGACGAGCCGAGAGGTGAAGATCAAGCTGACGTCGTTGAGACGGCAGATTTGGACGGGTGTTTCGAGCACCGCCGCCGCCGCCGAGGGCAACGACGCGGAACGTCTTGTCGACGCATTCGTTAAGACACCTTTGAGCTGGGGTGTCTCCAGACACGCTCTGACGCACTATCCCACGGACGGCGAGGTCACGCTAAAGTGAGTCGATATACTCGACTTATCGCGCAGACGGCGTTCGTAAGATATGATGCGTGTTTTGCATGCTTCGTTGCGGTTAGATATGCATACGATTTTTTTTTACATCGCGTGCGTCGATTTCCTTCGAAATTCTCCTTTGCCGGAAAAATACGCGTAAAAAAAAAATTTGCGCTCGTGACGGATTTTTCTTTTCAGACCGCAGTCCAAGAAGGCGCAGTCGCTCGCTTATGACGCGGACAAGGAAGACGCGAGGAAGACGCGGAAAAAGTTGCGGCGGAATGCGTCCCAATTGAAGGCAGCTACTGCGCGTACGGACGGGCAGAAGACGTCCAGGAGGAAGAACGCGAAGCTCGACTGGCAGCGGGCGGTGAATCTAAATTCCCGGGGCAAGGACGCGAGAATAACGAGAGCCACGTCGCTCCTGACGATCGAGGCGGACTCGTTGAAGCTGCTGGCCGCGTCTACGGCGCCCAAGCAGCCGCAGCGACCGCAGCGGAAGCTCGAGCCGCGCCGAAAGTTCCGCGGCGTCGGCGCGGTGGCGTCCACCTGCGTCGGCGCCGTCGGGACGAAGCCGACGAGCGTCGCGAAGCCGACGAGGACGCGCACGTGCCGTCGCGACGCCTTCTGCGAGAGCACGACGTCGGACGACGCCTCGTCGGACTCCGGCAAGCCGAGCAAAGTCGTGAAGAAGAAGCAGAAGAAGAAGAAGCAGCCGCAGCAGCAACCGCCGCCGAGGAAACCGAGTAGAGGGACGGAGCAAAGCAAGCGAGTCTGCAGCGCGAAGACCTCGCGCAATAACGTTTGAGAAATTATTTCTCGCGAGCGAGCTGCGGATTATTATTTATTATCCCTCCCTATTTGAGATTCTGAACAATTCGAAGAAAACTTCTTCTTAAATGAAAACATGTATTCTTTAAATTAGAGAAACTGAAAATTAAGAATCTTTTAGGGACTGAAGTTTCAAAGGTGAAAATAATTAAATCTTAGTCCTTGCTGAATTGCAAGTCGAATGGCGGAACTTTATTCAAACAATTTGTTATTTAAGGATTGTAGTGAAACTAATATAAACTAGACACAGACTCAACGATCGTAATATTAAACATGAAGTTTCATTACACTGTTTAGGAATTACTTTCAAAGTCGCCGATACGTAGATAAGGATACGTGGGAAGAGAGTCTCATCATCAAAATTATCAGCATGCGGCGACGAGATAAAGGACTTATCGCTCCCTCCAAGAAAGCGAAAAGTAAATACATAACTCGCGTTCAAAAATGTCATCCTACAATCTAAAGATATCTAACGGAAATCTATAAAAATTGAAATAATGATCGCGCGCCGACATATTTCATCATTATGAAAAACTCGACTTTAAAAATTGCTCAAAGAAACCTTATTGTTAGATAATAACAGTGCCACTGTTATCTGATGAGTTAGTCATCAATTAAGTTAGTCGCAGCGCAGGGCGGTTTCACTTAAATTCCGATTAATTTAATTGTTAATTAATTCCGGCGGTCGCGGCTTAATTCGTGTATCACTGCCGTGTAAGCTCAAGAAGAATATTACATTTAATCAATCTCACAATCAGCGGAGTTGTATTTTCCGCAGTCTCGCGCCGGCGAAACCGACTGACATGCGCCGGGAGCCCGAGAGTGTCGCACCACGTGCTCGCGGATTTGACAGCGCGAGCTGTCACCATGGCGACACGCGGGCGCGCGGTAAACAATTCACGGCGGCACGACGCGACGCGGCGCGGCGCGGCGCGGTTCAGGTCGCTGCGATCACGTGGCCGTGGCCCCCGCGCGGCGGACCGACGTCGCGAGGCTGGAGGACGGGGCCGATCATTCGTCATCTCCGAGATCGGTATCGTCCGCGATTGCCACGTGACTCCTTTTCGTGGCGAGACGTCACGTGAGGGTCGACCTCTTCGATCGCCGGGCGCAACGCGAGTCGCTCCGGGCGATCGGTCGCGCAAACGGGGGGAGAAGAAAACGGAAATTGGCGATTACCTGCGATTATCCCTGGCACGTTCGTCAGAGAATTGTCGCGACGCGGTGCATGCTCTCCTTCTTCCCTTGCAATCTCTCCACTCCGCAAATCGTACGCGAACGCGTACGTAAAAATCGACTGAAGAAGATTCGACACTGCGCACCGATTCTCACCGTCCTCACGACGCTTGTCGCTTTGCGTGACTGTCTGACTACTCTGACTGATGACCGAGAGATCAGAATCGGTGCGCGGCCGGCGGCTAAAGGATCCTCGTGCTGCCATCTTGCAGCGACAATTTGCCTTCGCGCTGCTGGCGGAAGCAGCGGGAGATTCGACGTTTTATCGTAAATGGAATCACCGTGCCTACTGAAATTTTCGTGACTATCGAGTGGATTCGTTGGGCCTGGGGCTAGTTGAAGAATGTAGACGTTATTGTTCGGATATCTGAACAATTTATATTATAAATATTATAAGCATTTATATTATAATTTATTATTGTACAGATGCTTCGTAAGCGTATATATAATTACGCTAGAATATCCTATGTATATCCATGTTATTTCTTTTGATTGTATTTCTTATCATAATTACTAGCACTACAGACGCGCGCTGTTTAATTGCACATTTACTTTTTACTATAATTGACTATAATTATACATCAACCTCAATACATACAACTGTCAACAGTCAATGTAATGACAGCTGCTCACGAAGTTAGCGCAGCGAAAGAATCACTCACGTCGCGGAAAAGAGTCAATAATCAGCACAATCGAATGAGACTTGCGTAGAAATTATCTCCTGTTTAGTCGCTAATTAATCACGCAAATCCCGATTTTTTCACTGCAGCCGTTTCGGGAAAAAAAGGATATCAAGCCTTTGATACAGTGTAGACCGTTGGAATATAGATGAACGTTTAAACGGGTCGTGCGGCTCCGTCATGCTTATATTGTTGATATTAATGACATTTACATGCATGTGATATTGATATTTTCATGTATTGTTTGCTCTTTCACTCGGATCGACGGACAAGAGCCGGTGACGTGCCGAAACGTTATTGGTCAACGTTAGATTTTTGCGACAACGATCGTCGACTTCGTCGGTTTTGAGAAATCGACCGTAGGATCTGACGTCTCACGACGGACACGAATAAAAGTCATATTTAGCTCACGAATTATATTTCATTTCTTCAATCCTTATAACACGCCTACAATTAAATATCACAAAAATTATTTTAAATTGAACAATATATTCAGGTTTCGAGAATTAAAATTTAAAATAAATAATTGTAATGGGCCAGGAGTCAAGCAAGGTCTTTGTGCTAATCCGCGTTCTATTCAAATAAAAAATTACATTAATGCTACCAGACGATCGTTTCGGCTTTACATCAAGTCCCCTTCAGTGGTCTTTTATAAAATATTACATACGTGTCGCTTCATCTTCGTGTGTTACATACATAATTGTCCGATTTACTCGTATTACATTTTTAAACATTTTGTTAAGAATAGACATTAATATTAACATATGCAATTAGTCCTGTATTATGTTGGATGATTTATAATTGCGTAATGCAATTGAAGAATTAAGAAAATTTAATATTGAACAACTTTAAATAAATATTTTAAATAAATATTGAGCCGTTAAAAAAAAATGTATGAAGTACGAGACAACTTTACTATCTGTCTTATCAAGAAAGCAATTATAACGACGTTTTAAGAAACGAATGTTTTTATCTGTAATTGATGAAAATTACAAAAGTACGGAGAACTTTTAAGATAAAGCATGATAACCAACTTCTATTTTTAACTAATATTTTTCTGATAAATTCTTGAAGAACTAAAAAACGAACTACAAGAACTACAGTTAAAATTTTATAATAAAAATGTGTTTAATAAAACTTATCTGAAATAATCTTGAAGCCATCCAAGAGGAAAAGAAAAATTTTTATCAACGTCGGAAACAATACACTAATAATTAATTTTAATCTCAATACACATAATGACTGTCAAAACATGTAATGACAGCCGCTCAACGAAGTAAGCATAGTGAGATAACCAATCAGCATCACGAAAGCGGAAAAGCGGCAATAAATAATTTTGAGAAATGTAAGTTATCGATTTAACATACCTTTTTTTAGATAGGATGATCTACATAAATAATTGAACACAGATGACAACAATAAATATAGATTTAAATAAAAATCGAATATATCATAGATGTATGAAATATCAAGATAGAAAGTCATAAAATTATTGTTATATTATAATTTAACTGATTAAATTTTCACACTCACTTCTATAAGATCGTTGTCTTAATATTATCTTGTTGATGCTGAGACACAATTAACAAGTCATTTTTTAGCACTCATGATAGATCTTTTTCATGAAAATTAACAAATTGTGTAATAAATATCTGGATTATATAGAAATGCATTGTAAAATATATAGAAGAGAAGGTGGTTATTACATCCTCTCCATTTACATTTTACTTTGTTAATAATCAATATTTAAATTAAAAATTTAACAATTATATTCGTCAAAGTGTCGTTCAATCAATTTTAGGAGTTAAAGTTATGAAATATTTATTACTTAGGACGTTACTTTTGAAAATGTGACGACTGCATATAATGGATCGATTATCGAAGAGGAAGTGAGATGTTAATGTGGCCCCTCTCAAAAACAGCTAGATTTTTAAAATTGATTTTATTTAAAAGAACACAATATATTTGCTTACAAAAATTATACATTTAAAAATAAAATATTGCAGACCGTATGCAAATGTATATATACGTACGTATAATTTCTCTTGCATATATAGATTATAGACTGCTGTCAGGTACTAAAAATTTATCTATACATACTACTATAGTATACATGTGACGTGAATTATAAAGATTAGCAGTAGAGCTATAATCGATTTATTAAAGAAGATAACTACTTTGATATAAAAACCTTAAAAAAAATCGTAGCGTCACGCTTGAGTTGCATTAAGATCCCAGATAGCACAGAGAGTGAAAAAAGAACTGTTATATGTCACTAATTCTGAGTTCATTTTCAGATGCGAAAAGAATTCTCTTTCTAAAAGGGATTCTTTTTGCGCCTGAAAATGAACTCAAAATTGATGACATAAAATTGAATATACTAATGACATCTTTTGGGCTCTGTGTGCTATCTGGGATGTCATTAAAAGAAATCTTAGATACATAAATGCATCACAAATTACATTTACAATTTTTTGCATTGCATGCATTTGTAGGATTTACTGTAGGCACTGTAGATAAATTTTTAATTTAAAAATAGAAACAAGATATAAAGAAAAACTAAATGGAATAAAATGCCGCACGAGTTAATGCAATTATGTATGTACGTAAAAAAAAATCGTGTACACCTTACATTATATCACAACTCGTAAAAGTTTTGTTGGACGTTACAATACTAATGTATTATGCATACGCAATACAACTGGCAAAAAATAAGCGAAAGAATATTCTCACCGGGGTGACATGCTGGGGTCATCGTCATGACCTGGACATCCGTCGATTGTGACAAAAACCACGAGGTGAATTAATACCTATCTGCCATTAAGGTATATGCGTATTCTTTTGAAAATATATATTCAACTATTCGCAAGTCACTTACAAATTTACAGATTGCGATGAAGCATCGAAAGTAAATGTATAAATAAGTGAAATTGATCTCTCTGTTCTCCTTTCCCCTTTCGACTCGCAATCTGTGTGTTCTTTGAAAGAATATACATATATCGGTATGTACATATTAATCGGTACAGCGTGAATTTATCATTGGCGATCGTGGCACGAAGAGTTGTGCGTCTGCTTTCCATGTCGAGGACTCCGCGGGTTCAAATCCGACCGCAATAAAACTAAAACATCTGATTTTATTCGATCGCTGTCTCTCAGAAAGGTATAATAGCAAATCACCGAGAGTATCTTGTTTTGTGATACCATTTAAGCAAAATCAATTGAAAGACAATCGATCCTCTTAATCAACTTGCACTGGCCAGCGTGACAGGAAAAATGGCTAAAATCCTCTAATCAAGATCTAGGTAGATTGAGAAGGTCATGTTCAGCAGTGGACAAAAAAGAGCTGTTATTGATAATTATAGTTATCATGTAACTATATTTTAACGATATATAATTATATAATTATTATAAATGAATCACTATATAATTATATATAGTTATATGATAACGATACATGATTTCTTTTTCGTCCACTGCTGAACATGTTATTTGAAATCACTGTTTGTTCTTTTATATCTATATCATCTAATCATCAAGCAGCTCATCTGACAGCAGTCAATATGCAGAAAAAATTATGTGTACGTATACATTTGCATATACAGTCTGCAATAGTTTATTTTTAAATGTGTAATTTTTTTGTTAGTCTTTCTTAAACCTATCGAGAGGATTTTAACCATTTTAATGCGATATTGTTATATATTGCGATAGATGAAACTGAATAAATTAAATCTTGAATATAGTCTGCTCATTATTATTAAAATAGAGAAGACTAAAGACATTGAGGATAGATTTATATGACGAGTAAGAAAAAGTTGGTTCATAAAATACTTATAATTTGTTTATTTACATAAAAGTTAATGGCGGTACTTTATTTAGTCCCAGCCGTGTGTGAATCATAATGATTGAAAAAACGTAACAAGAAAAATGTATGTACTTTATTTAGTCTCAGCCGTGTGTGAATCATAATGATTGAAAAGACGTAACAGGAAAAATGTATGATACGATACAAGAGAAAGTAAATTGCAGAATTAGGAAAAGCTACAAATGCCAGATATTAAAATAAACACATTGGTAATAAATAAATAATAAATAACATCACACCAAGCTTAACGTATATTAATATACATATATAATTGATTAATATATATATATATATATATATATATATATATATATACATAATTTAAATGATTATGGATATATCCACCAATACCGATCAAGCATAATTTAATTTTCAATCTCATGACGTTTTTTTGTCTAATATAAAACGGTTTATCTATTTTTAAACTTGAACATTACTTACTATCTATTTTATCAACTTGCCATGAGATCTAAGTTATTTATTATTTATTTATTTATTTAACACAAAAAGTATTTGAAAAACTAGAATATATATACACATATAAATGTACATTAAAATATGTGAGTAAAGATACGTGGCATATATAATAGCTTTTTATTTTAAAATTTTTCTGATTTCGTAAATCGCATAAATGTAAATTACAAAACCGTGAAATATAAATTGCAGGATATATAGTCTTAAATGCATATAATATTTTGCTGAAATAACGTATAAATTCCATATTTCTAACATTGCATGCAAAAATATGTTAAAATATATTTGATTATTAATTTTTATATTCTTTTGTGTGTAGAATATACATTACATTCTAAACGTTTAAGAATTAAGAGTTAACGCTGTTTATAAATACAAGACACAAACGTGTAGGAGAAGAAAGCGAATTAAAACGGATATAATTAGAATGTTTAGTTCTTTATTCAAGCGGAAAAGTTACTCCAATAAAATCTTAATTGTTAAACCATTGGTAGGAAAGTTTTAAAAAAAACTTTAAACGAAATCGATTTCTCTTTCTCTAATTTATTAAAGAAAAGTGTGTCAGATCGCGATCGAAGAACAATGGTATAAAATAAATAAAAATGATCGAGGTGGAAAAATATTTCATTTTACTCTTTTTTTTAGTTTTAACTTTTGATCGAATAAAACGACAAAGGCAATGACAAAGGCCATTTTTTTTCATGCAAATTGAGCGGGCTAATTTATTTCATGCTTTGTGCTCAAAAGTTCACGGGAATAAAGTCTGAGCAATATCTGTTTGTTAAGTAAATGTATTTTAATTAGCTCTAGTCACAAGGTGACCCAGTGAAAAAGTGCGTATGGATGTATTTTCAGGCATTCGACGGCGATTTATTTTTTTAGCATCGCAGCACTCGGGCGTCGATGGTGGTGGTCGCGTGCACCGCTTATAAAGGACTGCAGCTAGGCAAGCGGTTTAGTTCGGTGTTGGTTCACCGAAAAGATTCGATCGTGTGTATTCGTGAACAGTATATATATATAAGGTGGGTGTTGGAGGAGAGGCGAAGATTGGAGAGGATTAATCCGGAAAAGGGATGAAATCGAAATAGCCGATTATTGGATTTAAAGAGATGTCTAAAATAAGATCCTGGTTCTTGTCGTGTAATAATGTACAGTGGGACACACCGCCTTCTTTTGGTCCACGGAAGATTTAGGATCATAGTGTCTTAACATAATAAAATTCATCTAACGACGTTATTCGTCGTGATTGCGATCACGGGAAATGAAGGACCGTAATTCCGGAACGCTTCTCGAACGTGCAAAGTTTGTCGTCGAATTTCAGTTAGAGGGAAGAGAGAACGCGAATCTCGTTCAGACCAGTTTGTTTCGTCGATTTAATATCTCTAAATCACGGATGCTGAACGTTCAGTTCGCGACCGTATTCCAAAATATGAAAGTTAGACTACTCCACGTGGCGTATTTCTTTGGTAACGCTGAGAAGGCAATAATTTAATTAGTCAAGTTTTTTTATTAGGTAATAGTTTGATATTAGACCCATGATTAGCAATGATCAAAACTTGAAATCTGGCCGTTCGGAGAAAGTAATTGAGCATCCGTGTTCTAAACTATTCTAAGAATCTTTGAAACGTTCTTTTTTTTAACGTGCACAATTGAAGGGACTTGAATTGCCGAGCGAGAAGATAACAGGTGGCGGAATCCCTCGATTATAATTTTTAATCGACTTCAATCCTGTTCCCGTCGCGTCTCTGATTTTTTCTCATTCCGGTATTTCTTGCTCGAAGTCGCCGATCAGATAGACGATTTGATCGAACGCTCCTTCTTTTTTTTTTTTAGGAATCATGTCGGCGACCGAACCAGAAATGATAGCTGGATCCGTTGCCGCCGCGGCGTCTACTGGTCTATCGGCGACCACCGTTTTCCTGTCTCTCTTGGTACCGGCTTTGATTCTGTACTACGTCTACTTCAGGATTTCACGCCGTCACATGATCGAGCTGGCGGAAAAAATACCGGGTCCGGAAGGCGTACCGCTGATTGGAAATGCGCTACAGATGCTAGGAAGTTCAGACAGTAAGCGATAACACATAAAGCCATGTATAAAGACGGACAAACGTATATAAAATACATATCCGATCATTTAAATCAATTAACATCTCAGATCAATCGATTCTCTGATCCTCAATATATTAATCTTTCTCGAAACTATAATCCGAGTTAAATTCAAACTTAATATTTTTGCTCGCGAGTAAATTTGTGAGAGACTCCCTTATTCTTGCTACAATGAACCAGAGCAGCAAGTATAGGAAGTTCTCGTGAGTAAAAAGCTGCAGTCTAACAGATATATCGCAAATCCAGATCGCGCCAATTAACAAACTTTCGCAATAACATCGAGAATATGAATTCAGCTAATTTGACGATTACGTGTTTTCTGTGTGTATCTTTCGTACTATCTATTATCACGCTCGGATTGGATAATCCACGCTCGAATGGATTTTGCGCCGCGCGAAAACCCAGCTGCTTACTACGCATATGTTCACGTAACTTCCGATCACGCACCCCTACTGTGTGTCTCTCTGATGTGTTGCAGCCATGTTTCGTAACATGTACAGAACGTCCTTCGAGTACGACCAGATCATCAAGCTCTGGCTCGGGCCGAAATTGCTGATCTTCCTGATGGACCCGCGCGACGTCGAGATCATCCTCTCGAGCCACGTCTACATCGACAAGTCCACGGAGTATCGGTTCTTCGAGCCTTGGCTCGGAAACGGTCTGCTTATCTCTACCGGTGCGTATTAGCCTATATTCCTAGCTACCGGGTATCTCGGAAGCTCGCGAAATAAAGAGTTCCGTTCTATGTATAAGAATGCGCGATCCTCAAGTCGGCAATCATCATTAAAAAACTATCATTAACTATCACGGTGCGCGCGATGCAATTAAATTCAGAAAGTCAGGAACCGATTCAATTTCTCCATTAAAGGCGAATTACAGTTTCCGTAATTTTTCATTACAAGCGTTATATAATTTTGTAGAAAAAAAAAGTTATTTTATTAAGAGAAAAATATGGATTGACTTTAACGTGGAAGTACGCAGTAACTTAATTCGCAAAGCTTTTTTCCTCGGGGTGGTCTAAAGAAGGGAGGTACGTATTTAAAAAAAAAGTGAATAATACCTTACGCAAGACCGGTGAATTGAAAGGCAACATTTGTGTCTTGTTAACGTGCTTCTGAAAAACTGTCTTCGCGTAATCATGAAACGCAAGAATTAACATCGGCTAATAACTTTTTTCATGCGACAAAATATTGGAAATATTCCGCACAAATATTTGACGCACATTTTTCCTCCTATTTTTCGCGCTTGAACGTTACGTTCGAAAAACGTTATCTCCTATACATGCCATTCAGTTTACTCATTCAAAAAATTCTGCGCAATAATTTTAAAATATATATGTGTCTAAAAAATAACATTATATATATTATGAAATATATTGTAATATGTTTTGCAAGATAACGAAATACATTTATCTATATGTACATATATTTTATATTATATATTGTATATATGAGATTTTAAACTCTCCTGATAAAATTTAGTGTAGCTCCATTTCAAGCGCTAATAATTTTCGCAGTTGAAATGTAACTTTCTCGGGTAATTTTAGATTAAACTCAAACCATTCATCTGCAATTGAAATTCAGTCGTTTTTTTTTCTCTCATCATTTCTCTTTTATTCGAACTTCTCTGGCCTTTTGAATTCGAAATTTATATAATGCACCTACATTTTTGACTACATAATTAAATTTATATCGGGGGAACCGCGATGTATTGAACTTTCGATAGGAATTCGAGCCGTGTTCTCGTCGTCGTGAATGAACAAAAACCTAATGAGATGCAGCATGCGCGCGCGGTCCGCCGTAACGATAGTCGGACTTACGGCGCGGACTTTTATCGCCGACTTTCTCGATACCGCTAGAGAAGGTCCTTTTTCTCGTTGACGAAACTCTCTCGCCGAGGCGTAACAGCGTGTGCAGCCGTGCACGTAACGACGCGTGCTATCGCCTCCCGGTTAATTCGCGCGCCTCGTCGCGACATCCGCCGGCAAAGGCGTCAGCACCCATTTCTTTTCTTTCCTTCTTCCTCTTCTTTTTTTTCCCCTCCCCATCTCTCCTAGAGATCACTTCGCGCGAGTTTGTTTTACGGTAACGGCCGGTTATATAACGATATCATATAATTCAGCTGTTATCGTGCCGGGGAGTTCGGGGACTTGTAACCGCGGCACTCCGGCTATCTGGATCTATATACGCGCGCGATCGACTTTCGCAATGTTTCAGTCAAATGAAAAAGCAGCTACAGAGAAAGAGAGAGAGAGAGAGAGAGAGAGAGAGAGAAAGCGCAAGTGTATCGAGATCGAATAAAGTAAGAGATTACATGGAGAGAAATGTCTCTCTTTACGCCCGTCACGAAACTAATATATCTTCTCTTGCATAAATATAATTCGAGAAAAAAAAAGGGTGACATGAATGTAAGATGTTGAATATGCATAACAACAAAATTAGCATCGCGTGATGCACGGTGATACGATAATTATACGCGACGTTCAGACTCCAGATTCTGATGTAACACGCGAAAAAAGCTATTAAACACGGCACTTAGCCTGCCGGTTCATTTGCTCTGTTTAATCTCTCAACTGAGGTGGATCGATTAAATCAATTTTTTTTTAAGAATATAAGAGAAAATTAATGTATCTTGAAATATTTTCGAAAAATTTGAGTTAAAATTAATTTTCTGAGAAAACGGAGTGGCGCGGCGTCGCGGCGCAACCCTCGGACGGTGAACATCCGAGGAGCAGCCCAGAGAGAGAGAGACGTCGAAGGATCGACGCCTATGCGCGCCGTGGCATTTGTCGCACGATCGACACACAACGCACTTGCATTTAGGGAGAGCGGAGAAAAGAGCGGCGCGGGGGAGGGAGGGATGGAGAGTGAAATGCAATCAGTCCGCGAGTAATCCGTCGGGCGCAGAACAGGAAGGAAATTTGCACGCGCGCCGGTGCTTTCTCTCCCTGGCTTCGTTCTCCGTTCCCGGCACGTGTGCGCGCATCGCGCTCCTTCCGTAGATCTTGTTGCACAATTACGACGATTTCTGTCTTTCTTTCTCACTCTCTCGCTCTCTTTCTTTCCTCTCGCGCGTTGCAATTCATTATCTTGCTCTTTCTCTCACTCCCCGGCACCTTCTCCGCCCATTCTTCTTCCTACTTCCGCGTGCTTGGTAGAAAGTCTATGGGGCATCGATATATGACGAAGGTGGGGTAGAAATTTACATTTAAATACATCTCCGCGAATACTTCACTCTTTTCCTCTCTTCGGATTTTGTTCCGCTGCGCTCAATTGACGCATTGTCTGCCCAGCGATTTTTGTACATTTTATTATGTTCATAGTAGAATTTTCGTTCATAAGCGTATAACAAAATTGTAAATACGATTAAAAACAAAAATTATTAATTGAATAGTGTACCCTTTTTTGCGTTATCATATAGCTATTTACATAATTCAAAATTTTATTAGTTTGCATTACAAATGTTTTAAAGAATCTCGATGGCGCCGATTACCAGCAATAGTCAAAGTGATCGAATCGGTCTTGCGATCACAATTCGCTGAAAACTTACTCAGGGCGAGTCTCTTCGGAGAAATTAGGAATTCTGTTACACCAAAAAAAAAAAAAAAAAAAAAAACAAACAAATCGGTGATGACGGGTGTTGCAGGTCCGAAATGGCGCGCCCATCGCAAATTGATCGCGCCGACGTTTCACTTAAACGTGCTCAAGAGTTTTATCGACCTCTTTAACGCCAATTCGCGCGCGGTGGTGGAACGGATGCGTAAGGAGGACGACAAGGAATTCGACTGCCACGACTACATGTCCGAGTGCACCGTCGAGATCCTCCTCGAGACCGCCATGGGTGTCTCCAAGTCCACGCAGGACCGAAGCGGCTTCGAGTATGCCATGGCTGTTATGAAGCAAGTATCCACATTCCTGTTTTAGAAATCAAGGCAAAAAAATAAAGAATCGAGGAATTAGCCTTTTTAATCTTATTACGCAGTTGTTTTTCGAACAGGTTTTAATTAGGTGTAAAATAAATTATAAAATTCAAATCACACACACACACACACACACACACATACACACATATAACAGTCTTAATTAAATTTATACTACTTCTTTAACTAGGCGTCATTTTAATCATAAAATTTTCTCATATATTTTTGAGAGGCTTTTTCTTAACAAAATTATCTTGAATTCATGTATAAGATCTTGGAATTTTTTTTTCTTTAGAATTTTAGATTTATAAAAGATAATAATTATTTCGATGAATTTCCGTGTAGCAAAAATTTTATGCAATTTTTATTCCTTGGAACATTCGTATATTGTCATGTTGAACCGTATAAAACCGTATAAATATCATTATTGCTTAATTGTCTCTTAGGATGTGCGACATTCTCCATCTGCGCCACACGAAGCTCTGGCTCAGACCAGACTGGTTGTTCAACCTCTCGAAGTACGGGAAAGATCAGAACCGTTTGTTGGATATCATTCACGGGCTCACGAAGAAGGTCATCGCGCGTAAGAAGCAGGAGTTCAAGAGCGGCAAGCGCAATATTATCGAGGAGTCCATGCAAAATGGCAATGCCAATACTAAAGTAATTAAATAATTCAGAATCTCTAAAGAGTTGCGTCGAGCGATGAGATCATATATCACGCTGTCATATATAATATATTGCTTTTAGAACACCTCTGTGGAAGGACTTTCCTTCGGGCAGGCGGCCGGCCTGAAAGACGACCTCGACGTGGACGATAACGACGTCGGCGAGAAGAAGAGACAAGCCTTCCTCGATCTGTTGATGGAGGCCGGTCAGAACGGTACCGTCCTGACAGACGAGGAGGTCAAGGAACAGGTCGACACTATCATGTTCGAGGTGAGCGTCGCGAGGTGCGACCAAGTTGAAAGGATCGATTCTTAACAAACCGTTCGTTCTGTCATTCATTTTCGGCAGGGACACGACACGACCGCGGCTGCGTCCAGCTTCTTCCTGTCGGTGATGGGCTGCCATCCGGAAATTCAGGAAAAAGTCATCCAGGAACTCGACGAAATCTTCGGCGACAGCGACCGGCCCGCGACCTTCCAGGACACGCTGGAGATGAAGTACCTCGAGCGATGCCTCATGGAGACCCTTCGCATGTACCCGCCCGTGCCCATCATCGCGCGTAAGATCAACACCGACTTGAAACTCGGTGAGTTCTCGAAGCTGGGATATATCTGTGTAAATTTCAGATCCCCGAACTTTGGGCGGTCATAGTCGAGTCTTATGTTTAAAAAGCCGTCTTGTATAAGTGTAGTCTTGAAGCTATCGTGAACGAATTACAAAGTTGTATTAGCATTTCAATTGACATAATTTAAGACGGTCTTGAAATGAGAACGAGCTATAAATACCGGCCTTTGAAAAATTGACATTGCATTTGTATACACCGGATAAATCGTATACCATGTAAACGTTACGTAACTCCGAGATAACGAAGTGGTCATTAGTAATCTTTTTATCGAGTAATTTGTTGTAATCATTGAAACGCGATCGCCTTTTCAGCGTCGGGAGACTACACGGTCCCGGCTGGGGCCACGGTGATAGTGACGACCTTCAAGATGCACCGGCAGCCGCACATCTATCCGAATCCGGATGTGTTCAACCCCGACAACTTCCTGCCGGAGAAGACCGCCAATCGGCACTACTACGCCTTCGTGCCGTTCTCGGCCGGGCCGCGTTCCTGCGTCGGCCGCAAATACGCCATGCTCAAGCTGAAGATCATCCTGTCCACGATCATGAGGAACTTCCACGTCAAGTCGGACATCAAGGAGGTCGACTTCAGGCTCCAGGCCGACATTATCCTCAAGCGCGCGGAGGGCTTCAAGATCAGGCTGGAGCCGAGGAAGCGGGCGGCCGCCGCCACCGCCTAAAACGGCGTTCCTCGATCCTTCGTTTTTTTTTTTGCGTTGGGTGATTGGGTAGGAGGAGGACGAGGCGAGCCGCGAATTTCGAGTCTGGATCTCGCGGTGGCTTTTTCGAGGAGTCGCGTCTCGTGCGCGCGCGCACGTAACAACAAACGCCGCCGCGTGTAGTTCTTAGAACATATATTACTGGAAGGAGAATTGAGTGCTGAACGTCTCTTCGTTCATCACAGAAGCCAACATCTGTGCGAGAGAGAAAGGTATAGATTGTCAATTGATTGCAATCTACACGCATGTGCCATTCAGCCCCCACTCAGCCCTAATTTTTTATTTTTCGAAAATCTCTTCAAAGAAAAATGAAAAACGTGGCTAAATGGGGGGCTGAATGGCACATGCGTATTACAGTTAATTGGGGGAACCTATATCTTTCTCTCTCTCGCACAGATGTTAACTTCAGCTCGGTATACGGATGGTATAGAGCATGATGTAAGAAGACATGTTTTCATGTAATTCGATGTAAGAAGACATGGAGGTATAGAGTAGACAATTCTCCTTCCATTCTAGTAGTATATGTTCTAAGGTGTAGTTACATGTACATGTGTATATTACTGGTCCGTGATCGTTGTATGACGCACGCTTACCGCTTACGTTGATATTTATCTCTTGCAATAAATGCGGTGTTAACTCACCGCGCCGAGAAATCTGACAACCGATCGATCTATTTCCTCGTTCCCGATCACGCGACCGTGCGAGATGCGTCAGGCACGCGAGACGCGAGGAGGCCGGCTCGCGGCGAGCGTGCGAAAGCGCGACTCACAAAGTGCGCTCGCGAGACCGGTGCGGCAGGACCTTCCCCGCGAAGGAGGATCATCGGAGATCGATCCCAAGATCGCAGAAGGCAGTGAAGGCACGACGATCAAGACTCTCGCGGCAGCCCGATCGGGGGAGATGGAGAAGGTTAAGGACGAGCTGAAGGCGATGCTTCCGATGTTAAAACCTTCAGAAGTGAGAAGGTTGCTTTTTTTTATAAATAAAAGAAGTATCCTCTATTTTTTTCCCTCAATCGCAAACGTGTAACGCTTTTTGACTGAGGCGGCTCAATGTTGCATTATCTATAACTTGTCCCGATTGTCCCTTCTTTCTTCATTCTATCTGTTTTGAAGAAATATAAATGTGCCATCAAATCCGTTTCTAATTGATTGATATCGATTTGAATCCGAATAGATTTCATTTGCCATTTCACGAAGCGATCATTCACCAGCTCGAGGAAAGCAATTACGAGGAATCGGTTCGTTATTTGAGAGAATTATTTGAGCTCGACGAGGAGACTCGTAGGGAGGCTGGTCCTGGCACCTTAACGTGGAAGAAGCCGCGCTTAAAGGACCGCAGGGACGCGATATTGCGCCTGAGGGATGGTTTGATCGCCGTCGAGCAAGCCAAAAATATCGGTGCAAAATCGAAATCTTTAATAAGATTTTTAAATAGAATCTCTAAACGTCACGTTTATTATTCGCTAGAGCGAAAACAATTGTTCCCCGTCGAATAGCAATCGAGTCCGTATGCGACAATCGTTCGCGCATAATTTTTACCGTCGAACTTTGTCATTTAGACGGAAGTAGGTACGATGTATAAAGTACGAGAGCAAGTGTCACGGTTAAAAGTAAAAAAATTTTCTGAATGTAGAAGACAACTTTTCCATGGTCGCGGGATTTCTGAGCATGGCGTTGTTCTTTCAAGCGATGACTTGGGAGTGGTGGTGGGTGGCGGAACGGCTCTACCGTAGCGCTCTGGAGAAGGCTGAATTAGTCGAGGATGACGGCCGGCAGGCGAGCAGCACCCTCGCACGTTACCTGTACGGCCGATTTCTGTTCGAGCGAAGTTAGCGAGGCACATTATACATGCAAATTAAGGCAAATTAAGGCAAACGCAAGTTTGCGAACCCAGCAAGTCTAGACTTTTTGCGACCTAAGCGACCGTTTTAGTTTCTTCTCTTTGCATAATTATATCGGGTTCAATACGCAGCTATTTCATTAATGAAATATTTATCAGACATGTAAAATCAATTATAAACTTGCAAAATCAATTATAAATTATAAATTATAATATAAATAACATGAATTAACAATGTTAATGCAATCACGTTCGCGCGGTGCAATAATCAGTACAGGACACGGCGGAATCGTTGTATCACTTGGAGATCGCGCGTGAAGCGTCCCAGAAGAAACCGTGGAACGCGTCGAAGATGACCGGTCGACAAGAGGAGACTATCTTTCGTGAATGCAACGTGCTTCTGTACAAAGCACTGCTGATGTACGCGCAACAGGTCGGCCCCGAGCGACCGGACGTCGCCGTGACAGCGTACACCGAAGCTCTCGCACGAGCAACGGACTGTGAGATTTTTTTCATCTTTTTTTTATTAAAAAAAAAAGACGAAGAAAATACCAGATAAAGAATAGTAAAATATTTACATCGTTACATCGTTTTGAGTATTATGATCTTGTTGAAATCTTACCTCACTATTTGAGTTCGTTATCTCGAAGATCGCGCGAATTCAGTCTTCAGCACGCGTCGGCACGTCTCTCGGTGAAACTCGTAGCACTTTCTCGAAATAATAAAAATAAAACAATCCCACGATGTCATCAATCGTCCTCGCATTCGCAGCTGGACATTACGAACACATGGCGAACGTTTTGTACGAGCTGGGGATGAGTCACTTACGGTCGGGCGACGTGAAACTCGCCTTCCAGAACTTCTCCAAGTTCCTGGCGATGACCAAGAGGATCTCGGACCCGGAGGGGATCTGCAACGCGCACATGGCGATGGCACTTGTGTACAAGTTACGTGTATAACTTATACTACTCTTCGCGTGTCAAGGTAGAAGGTCGAACAGCACGTGGCAAGGAAAATATAAAAGACAATTTCGAATCTCCCATCCCGATCTTTATCATTGCACACTTATCGTGCGATCTTGCTCTCGAAAGAGAACGTCAATTTTTAACGCGGTTCTTACGAAGGGCGATTCACGTTTGCAGGAAATGAACGACGACGTGAACACGGAGAAGCACCTTCGCCTATTCATGGTAAATGCAACCGAGTGCGGACTCACGAGAAAACTCGCACAGGCACACTTCTGCACCGGCGAGCATTTTTTAAGCAAGGTACGGACTCGTTACATTCGCGATCGTAAAAAGAATAAAAATTACAAGATTATCGATGAAGATCTGAGAAATTATTACATTTCCTTGGACTCTTACATTGTACAAGATATATCTAACTTAAATATATATAATGTACAAACGCGCTGAACGATATCTGATCGACATACTCATGGCGCTAATGAACTATTTCTTTGGAATAAACAACAATATGAATACAAGTTATTTTTTTTTTTTAGAGGAGGCCAGATATTGCGACCCTTCACTTGGAAAAGTCCTTCAAGCTGTATAGCGAACTCGGTTTGTGCAACGACGCTGATAAAGCGCGTGCCCTCGCCGGAGTCTCGAAAGGCGAGTTATACGCTTCTTCTGATGCAAACTATGCATGCGACGCATTTAAAACGCCTCCGTCCTTTTAATAGGACAAGAAATCATCGATCAATACGTTCATCTTATACACCAGTGCGGAGCCGCCGATCCGGGAGCAATGACGGCGCTTTGTCAATGGAAAAATCGTAGAAGCGTTTTTTGGACTGAAAAAGAAGAGAAGAAGCTACACGCCGGTAAAAGACAGTATTCATCGATCAATCAAAACATTTTTTTTTTATGGTTAAAAGTGAACTCCTACAAAAGAGTCTACCTCTCGCAATTCTTAAGCGTCTTGATTATCGCATTCCGATTTACATTACAAATAACAATGCGGTATTATCATTTCAGACGCTTCGACGGAGTTTCTTGACCTCGAAAACAAAGAGGTGACGTCTCGGTCGCAATTAACTCTAACTGATACCACAAACAACACGCCGTGAGATCACATTAAAAAATTCAATTTGACAATTAATATTCTTTTACCTGAATCTATAATAAATATGCATTTATCTTATTTTTCATAGTAAACAGTATAATGCCGATTACATCGGCGCATATTCGAACGTCATACGTCATAAACGTAATGATATTCCATTACACGATAAAGATTAAAATTCAATAATTACAATTTTATGTATAGTGTTAATGATATACGCGTCAAACAAGAACTTATACTTTTTTTTTATCCCTTGCGAATCGGTCCGCACGCGTGTTCGGTTTTAACACTAAAAATGCAAAGAGGGATAATTAGCAATGCTTTTGTACAATTAAGTAATATATTCTTTTTACGCGCGATGAATAATTTATTTCCATAATAAATAAAATATATTATTTGAATGAATAGAAATCCTTCAAAAATGTGATGTAACGTTATCTGTTGTTAGTTTTCAACAGCATAATATTAATTAATAATGTGTAATTAACATACACCATTATCTTCACCATTTAAAAGATAAGTGGCCTACTATCAGTATGAAAAATCTCAAATGTAAGAAAATTTAATAACTTTCAATTTTCGTATTGCAATTATGTTATTTTTTTTGTAATTTACATATGTGTAATTTCTTCCCTACGATTCTTAAACTTATTATCTTATTACACACAGGATTACACACATAATATAATTCCCAAAGGCTATTTTAAAACACACACATATATATATATATTATATATATATATATATATGTTGTAAAATAGCTTTTATAATATATACATATATTTTTATATTTTTAAGAATCCCAATTTAAAAATAGTAATGCATAGACAAATAATACATCGTCTGTAGCATAAGAATTTAGAAGATCGATAATATTAAAGTAATTATAATGGTGATCATATTGATAAATAAATATGTAGCGAAAAATTCTCTATTTAATTTTTTTTTTAAATTAATACACCAATAACTATCATTGCATTAGCAATTTGTGTAATTTATCATTAAAATTTTAGAGACAATTTTGTTTATTATATAACAATTGTAAATAATCAATGTGACATTTGCTCCTCAAAATCTTTTAACAGTTCTATATTCAAAAATTTTGACTTTTATTTACGATTTCTAATTAAATGATAAAATCAATTATCTTCTTGTACTAAAACTTAATGATTAGATTTGCTACACGTATCATATAAACAAAATGTTTAATTATTTAAATTCCTTAAATCATTAAAAATTAAATCGTCGAAAATCATTGCGCAAACATCTTTATAATGTTACTTTATATTTTTCCTTTATCTTAATCTATACATATGTATACATATATATATATTTTATACACATATATATATATATATATATATGTATGTATATATAAATGTGTTATATATTGCAAAAATGTTTCTTAAATAATAATATACATATATGTATATTATTAT